GTACCATCTCTGGTCCAATGTATGGTAGGCTCAGGTACACCAGTCGCGTTACAAAACAATTGAAGTCTGTCGGATTCGTTCAGCGAAACCCTTTGTTGTGGAGGTACAATTATTCTTGGGGGAACTAAAAGCAATTAATTTAGCTTAAAAATGGGAAAAGATGAAAAGGAAATACGGATGGAAATTATAGATTGCATGCGATAATAAAAACCGTTATGGCGCTTATAAGTTATTGCCTTGGTGGCATTGGACATAAATATTTCATTCTGCTTTAAGTATAGGGATTACTATCTATACCACAAGAACTTCTGCACTCAGTTGAACGATGACGACATCAGGGGCGGATCTAGGCTCATCTGCGTGAAGGAGTGCAGGTTTTCCATGGGGGTGGTACATGAGCTTCAGTAGTCTTACTGGCCACTTTCCTCTGCAGTCTGCAACGCTACAATCCCAACATTATTTGAGATGGCTGAATCTGTTTCACATTATCCTTTGCTTATAAAGATCCGCCCCTGGACGACATTCCTTGGAAACTTTTGAAACGTTGGGCAGTCAATGTTATGTGATCAGGAAATGCAATCATTTACTACGAGAGAAGCGAAACTTTGTACCATGGTCAGAAAATTGTGCGCAGAGACCATTATAAAGCACATTTTCCACTAGGCGAATTTGTTCGGGCGAAGCGAAAAACAAACCTTGGCAATGTGATTGGTCAGCGAAAAAATTTGCCGCGAAACAGTTGGATCAGTTCATACTTTTTTACTGTTCGCGCGAAAAAAATCGCCTAATGGAAAATGGGCTTAAGATGCAGTGTAACAACAGCAAATTCGTCTCTTTATCAAGGTGGGTTATTTTTTTCATTTTCAAACATTTTCTCACCAGTTTATCAAGTTTCATTTCCAAAATTTATAATGTTTTCCCTCGGCCTCCTGAAAATTCCAGCTGTTGCTAAGCGATGAGAAAAAGCATGCGTGTGACGTCTATGATTATATCGATCTTTCAAATAAAATTGCTTACTGGGTAATATCTTTTTATATTATAAAAGAAATAGAAAAGCTCGTCTCGTGTGCGTTTATGGTGCGAGACTGTACCCGGACAATGTTGGGGGGATACTCGGGAAGCATGTTTCTCGTATTCTCCCAACACCCCCTTCGTGCATTATCCCACCATAAACGCACGCGACTCGTTTTCTATTTCTTAATTACGTGAAGCAACCTTACCTCTCACCAAAACATTAACAGACACTTTTTCTCCTTCACCGACGTAACTTCCACCAGCACAAGATAAACGTCCTCCTTCGCAAGGTTGAATATTATCAAACCTTAATAGTCCCGTAGTTTTATTTTGTATAACAGTGCCATTTTCCCACCTCCAAACATAATACGTCGTTGGAGGATTGCCTTCAGCTCGACAGGGAAGATCCACGTCTGCACCAACACGAACTTCGCGTTCTTTGAAGTCATTTTTATTCTTCACTTCAGGAAGGTCTGGAAAATGAAACTTAAACAGTCAATTGTTTATACAGAAACTCAAGAATAATTCATGAGCAAAACACAAACGAGATCTGTAACGTATCGTTGTCTTAATACACAGTATAAATAAACATCCTTAAAATAAACTCAGCTTTCGCATCGAAATAAGAAGCTATGTCACACATACTCGGGGTTTATTATTCTACTGTAACCTCGCCTTTGATTAAAAAAATATTGACGCGTTTGGTGGATGGTATGTTCCATCGAGCGGCTGTCTGTCCGTCCTCTGGCGCACAGCACTAGCTAAACTGAAACATTTCTACGTTTCGAGCGAAGGTCGTTCATGTGGAAATTAGCACGCTACTCCGCTGGAAACGTCGAGGGTTTTATTTTTCTCCAAGCAGATTAACCATGCAGCACTTGTAATGCATGGTCACCACGCTTGCTTTTTTCAAGCATGGAAGACCCGGATATAATCAGAATACCTCCATACTCAAGGTCTTAAAATAATTGAGGAGAACGAACTAGCTAGTATATAAACAATGACATCAGTAAATGGTTGGACTTCTTGGATAAGGACGTTAAAATCGTATAGGTACCTCGGATCCCCTATCAAATAGGCAATAGCCTGTTGGTAAATCCGCTCACTAATACTGAGAGACTTAATAAAACAAAGTTGCATCCTTCAAACAACTTTCTCAATATGGACTACTGCAAATTATGAATATAAAGTACTCGTTGTTTTCGCGACTATTTACAGTAAGCTTCGTATGGATAGTCCTATATTACCACTATCGGTACAGTACTTACACATCAAATTTAGTCTAACAGACTTGACTAGCCTTCCATGAGGATTTATTGCTTGACAACCGTAGTTCCCATTATCCTCCCTTCTTGCAGGAGCCAATATCAGTGTAGACTTAGATATAAACAACGTGCTGCCTATAGCTCGACCAGTGATATAATATGGAGGCATTTTCCTCAAAGGTGAACCATCTTTAAGCCAGACTATTTCAGGTGCAGGTTTTCCCGAAGCTTCACATTTCACAGAAATATTTCGTCCTTCAATTGCATCTAATTTCGTTGGAAAAGCAATAACTTGGGGTGGAACTGTAATAAAGAACAATGTGTACCATGATTTTACAAAGCGTTCACCAGGATATAAGCAAACGTTAAATGCACTGAATGCCTTTAATCTTCATAATGTGAAAATGAAGCACCAACGATTCGAAAAGTCATTGTATACCGTAACATAATTTTTATAGCTTTCGGTTGTTTTAAGAAAATGGTGCGAAACTATTTCTCAACACTACATACATGCATTGTATGTTAACGATGCAGCCCATACAGTGCTCCAAAAATATGCAGTGGTTATAAAAAAAATGTGCCCGTTCTTGTATTTTGACTTACATTTAGTTGCACGATGTGACCCACTTCCTGAATGGCTTTACAAACCAATCGCGTAATTGCAAATGGTATATTACTGTTAAATATTTTACCTTTTACATCGATTAGCAAGACAACTGTTGGTCCATTGCCAAGTCTATTGGATGGAGTACAACTGATTTTATCGCCATCATGACTGAGATCTATTTTGACAGTTGGTTTTGCAGGGTCACTGCCAATCACTGGTGATATACCTTCACCAAAAAAGCTGAATTTAGCTACTGGATCAGCATCTGCAGTACATTCTAGAACCACAGTCGCACCATCTAGAAGAACTTGGCCTTTGGTTACATTAAACTTCGTATTCACAGGTTTATCTTTGAAGCAAAATATATAAAAACATCGGTAATACTATCATCACATTGCATGATATGCTTATCAATACATATTACAATATTAGAACTTTTCCCTGAATAATAATCTTGGATTATTTAACAATTATTCGCCGAAGGCGAGGTGATTATCGGTGAATAAAAACCGAGACGAAGTCGAGGTTTTTATTCACGATAATCACCAAGCCTGAGGGGAATAATTGTTTTAGTATAACTTCATAGGTGATTATTTGGAAAAAATAAGAAAATACACATTTCTTCGTCATTTAATTGACAAAAAGGCTTCGGCCTCCATTTTGAAAATCGCTTAGGTGATTATCGCGTAATAATCACCTCAACGGCAACCAATTAGCGTGGAGAATTTTCAATAATCACCTATGTAATTATACTAAAACCTATTATTATATAAACATAAGTGTTATATAGAGTTTTTGGCCACTGAGAAAAATCGTATTTAAACACACGTAAAAAATACGATATTTTTACGTGTGAAAATATCATTTGTTGTAAAACGCATTGCCACGGACGTTTTATTGTTTTTCACTGAATTTTGTTTATATAATAAACAGAAAAATACATGGGTGCTTGGAAATACCAGATTTATTTCTCGTGTTGAACATGATATCTCACTCGTTCGCTGCGCTCACTCGTGAGATATCATGTTCAACACTCGAAATAAATCTGGTATTCCCGCGCACCCATGTATTATTCTCTATTTACTGTATTAGAACAGTATGCAAATAGTGATGTAAGTGACTTGCGGGCAAGTAGAAATTTGTTTTTGGTAATCAAATTAAAGCGCCGTTATTATTAAAGATCATTGCGGGCAAGTAGAAATTTCTTCTTAGAAATCAAATTAAAGCGCCGTTATTATTAATGTTTTGTCAGAAATGTCTGCTTGTTTATGATGTAAAGCATTCTGTTTTTTATTCTTTATTGGTAAATCAGCTGAAATCAACACTTCATGATATAAAGTCTTCGATTACTTTAATCCTTCCTGCAATCATTTGCTTCAAATTTTGCTGATATGTGAGGGAAAACTAGACCTGGTGGGAAGTGAAATTTATTCTGGGCAACAAATTTTGATGTCTAATTTGCCCAAAACGCAAGTGGTAAAAATAGTTAAGTTACACCACTTACATAATTAGCTAGTTAATTTAATTCTACAACTTTCGATCCATTACTGTAACTATTTCAATTCGCATATGCGTAGAAGTTAGTTGAATCTGACCGGAAGATATCAGTGTGTTCAAATTAGAAACAATACGTCATCATTAGCTCCTTTATCACTTGTGTACCACAAGGAAGTATCCTTGGACCTCTTCTATTTATTTTGTTCGTTAACGAATAACGACCTCCCTTTGTATAGAAACCAGAACCTAGATATTTATGCCGATGATTCCACCTTACACTCCTTCGCTAATTCCATTAAATAACTGAATGACACACTCTCATCAGCCATGGAAAACATTGAGCAATGGAATACATCTAATGGGATGGTGGTTAAAGACTAAATCAATGGTGATTTGCACGTACGAAAAGTTGGCAAAAATAGGCGCATATGAACTCTGTATCAAACACAAAAAACACCGTCCTTGAGAATGTAGAGCCTGAAAAGTTGTTGGGTGTAAAAATTGACAATCATTTATCTTGGAAAGCTCACATCGATGATTTGGCTTCAAATCTTAGCAAACTTATTGCACTGTTCCGCCGAATAAAGATTTATCTGCCACTTCAAACAAGGATTTTATTCTATAAAACTTTCTTTCAACCAAGGATTGATTATTGCTGCACTGTTAGGGGACAATTGCCACACACATCAAGAATATACAAACTACAAAAACAGTCAAACTTCTTACCTATAAAGTATAGAGTTATGTATAGGATAGTTTGCTTGGTGTATAAATCACTAAATAGCATGACTCCTGACTATCTAACTGACATATTCAAGCCATTGTCAACAGTGTGTCAGCGACAAACCAGAGAAACACCACAAATATGGAACTGTGGGTACCAAAACATAAACTGTCGATTACTAAGTGTGGACTTAAATATAGTGGGGCATACTTTTACAATATATTGCTACCAAATATACGATCTCGAGCTCATTTAGCTACTGCATTCAAGTGGACAGCGTATGAACAGTTTCTGGACATGCTTATAAATGACTCTTAGTTTAGGACATTAATTATAACCAAGGTGTCGGCAAAGTAGGGATTGCTGCGGGTATTAAAGCAAATATAGAACTATAGTAAATAGCACAAATTATATCAAGCACAGTTATTACTCGCAGCGACTAGTGATCTGTGAGCTTATGACCCTTAAGCCAGTAACGAATCGATTCTTACCATGAGTGGAACTGAGAAAAAGCAATGAATATAAGTGGCCAAGACCACACTCTAAAAACACTCTGGTTAAATTCAACCTGAAACTGGATCAATAAACTACCTAGCACATTCCTGGTTAAATTAACTGATTTCCTGGTTAAAAATTATTGATTCAACAAAAATCTGGCCATACTTCTTTAAACTTTTAACCAGGAAAATGGTTTAATTTTTTTAACCAGGATTGTGTAGGTGTATTTTTAACCCCATCCTGGTTGAATTAACCCAAATTTAACCAGAGTGTTTTTAGAGTGCAGGAGTTAAAGTGCAATCACAGATGACAGATATTAAACATGTGCGTCTCATTGATTGACGAACTGGTAAATTAATTGTATTTATTATACATTGTGTTGGTAAATGCAATTTGATTGGCTAAGAGCTTACAGTTAAATCGCGCAATCACGCAACCTACAGAAAATTCAGTTATCTGCTAGTAGATAACTGAGTTATCTGCAAATGAGCCTGCGATGACTAGCAAGCGGTATCTATTTAATTTAACACAGTCATTCAATTCGGTTTTTGCGATATGCAAAATTATGAAAATCTCGGTATGCGTTATCAGCCTCGTCTTCGGCTAGGCTGATAACGCTTACCTCGACCTTGGTAATTCCACATATCACAAAAATCTCATCCAATAATTGTTAATTATATAACACAAATGCTATCAGATTTCATATCAAGAGTGTTTACTGCTAGGCGCATTTACCACATAATATTAATATACACAGATTTATTACACTAAGAAACCAAAACTTTATAATAATATAGAACTGACAGTGGTCAAAGTCCATTGAGTGAACAACGCACGAATCGACGCAAAAAGAACAAAGAATGGAAATTAGAAGACGAAAAAAAAGAAAATTACTTCCACGTAATTTTCATTATTTCGTGCTTCCGCGTGGATATTAAGAGCGACTGTCCGTAAAAATCGAGCAAAATTTGAATTCTGCGGCAATACACGAAAAATAGATTTCTTTAATATTTTGCTTAAATTTAGGTAATACCTAGTTATAAATGGTGTTTGGGTTAGATTTTCAATATTTGGTCGATAAACGTACAAATATCAGAAATCAAGAATTTGTCTCCGGAAGGCTATAATTAGCCGCAGACAACGCCGTTGCCATGGTCAAATTCATCACTTCGCGACGGATTCAAAACTGCCCGTAGATAGTTTTGATGGTTTAATGACTATAATTCAAGTATTAAAGAACACTGTTATCAATATAGAATGGTTCAGGAGGGTTTAACTGGCCTGACAGACGTCGTTGAAATTGACTATTTTTAGTCAAATTTTAGAATTGCATTTTGCGGCTGGATTTGAATGGGAAATTTACTATGTGCGATAATCGTGAATTTGTTTATATTTCATCCACGGAATGGTATAGCATGAGTACATGTTATATATAAAAACTAGCTTGGGTTATTGCCTTGGAGCGTTTAGAACAACGGTTTTCAACTGGTTTTCTCATGTGTCCCCGATTTCACATGATTGAATTACCACGTCCCCTGAACAGAAATTGCCCACTGAAGTCTATCAAAAACACGAATTTCGAAATAGTTAGTAAAATAGTAAATGATTTAAATTTTAAACAATAGATAGAAAGTCAAGCAAACATGTTTATAGTACAAACTATTGTATTCAACTATTGTTTTCTCAGTCCTAGACCAGTTTGTGTCCCCTAGGAATTTGCCAAATGTCCCCTCTCGGGGACATGTCCCCCAAGTTGAAAACCCATGGTTTAGAAGGATTTTCAAGATATTTTAGTGATAGGCCTACTTACAACAAAAGCACAACAAATCGTCATATTATATTACTAGACTGTAATGCATGAGTCAATTCCAGGAGTAACCATCCCCCCCCCGGGAACACACCCGGGCGTTTGATTTGATTGGTTGTGATAGTGTAAATGCCCGGGTGCCGGGACACAACTTGAAGACTAATGCACAGCCCCTGGGCAAGCTGAGAGTGGAAAATGCCCCACCCCGGAGACGATTTTACTGTAAACGTTAATTAAACTTTTAATGGCATATAATCATAGTCATTTAATAACATTATCGTATTAAACTGCTATGGAATATTATAAAACATAAACCTTTAATAGTTGTATTTAAAATTGCATGGCACAGGGTATAATTTTCGCTTATTCTTACAATAAATTTCACGCCACCTTGACCACGATCAGCGCGCCCACATGCGTGCCTGAAACTAGGTTTTGCTGCCTTAAAATTTGTGGGTGCACTTTGGTCAACCATTTGTCAAATCCCCGGGGTCCTCCAATACCCGGCCCCCGTGCACATATATGAAAGGCAAATTCCCGACCCCCGTGAACTGTCTATCGGGCAAATTCCCGGGGGTGTCCCGGGGGGGGGATGGTTAGTATAGGTAATAGCATGGTTTCGAGTGCAATTTGGATATAACATGCACGAGTGAGTTTTTCAAAGACCTCAAACTCACGAGTGTATGTTTATCCAAATTTCACGAGAAACCATGCTATTACTTATTAATAATTTACACAAAAATGTTCGAGACAATCGTAGTTTTAACTTACGCGTCTATAGCGAACATTCTACTGGCAAAGTTTCCGTGGCTTTGTTATATCACATTATACAACGCTAACAGCTTGAAAATTCCACTCAACTATGTAATTTTTGTTAGTCTTGTTTAAGGTAAATGCTTTTCCATTTAAAAATAAAGATAAAAGCCATACTTTCCACGCGAAGGCAACTTTTACTTTGTGTAGCACGGCCCCATGTTTGTTTTGTTTTGAAGCAATCTATGACCGTTACTTCTTTAAACTAAATTTCTTTAAACTGATTGGTTGATTTAATCATCACTATGTTTTTCCACCAATAAGATCAGTTTGTTACAGATTTTTGCACTGTGATTACAGAAAATTGCACTGTGATTACAAAAAATTGCACTGTGATTACAGAAAATTGCACTGTGATTACAGAAAATTGCACTGCTGTTTGGGATTAACTGCACTGAAATCAACCAATCACAGTCGAGTAATATCTTTATGTATATTATTACTCCAGGAATTGACTCATGCATAACGTTGCGTGTTGTTACTGAATGTATATTTAATATGTCTGTCTGTAATGTCTCAATCAATTCCATGGTTGCCCATCCCCCCCCCGGGCGTTTGTCGGGCATTCTCAACTGTACTTGTTCCCAGGGTCGGGCTAAAAAGTCGAATATTTATCGCTTGTTTCGCCATTTAGCCGTATTTTAGTACGCATGTTTACACGAGCGTGCGTATCGCAAATTAATCATGGCGGACATACACAAGACTTTTTTCTTGTCCATCCTGTTGATACATTGACTTACTTCTGCAGTTTGATATTGCTATATAAAGTTTTGAGACTTCAATATTTTAATTAAAAACGTTTTAAAACGAAATGGCTATAGAATCGATTTTAATTAGATATATTGATACGTGATAGAGCTTGGATTCGATTTTTTGGATCAGAAATCCTCAGAAAACTTATGTTTTGTCCCCCAAGGGTGGGGCATTTGCGTCAATGTAAGTCCCCAAGGGTGGGGATTTTGTTGCATTATTTGGACCCCATACTGGGGCATTTGCAACGTTTTTTCGCCAAAATGACAAAAACCCGACAAACGCCCGGGGGGAGGGGGGGTGGGGGGTGGGGGGGGGTGGTGTTGGGCACCCATGGAATTGATTGAGACATAAGCTTTTGAAGTCTTATAATTTCTCATATTTGTTTAATGCTTTCTCTGCATATGTAAACTAATAGAATTAAACCTAGGTAAATACAATAAAAGTACATGAGCTGGAACATGTATATGTTTACACTTTACGCTAGACATTTTGCTGCCGGACTCTCCTGTTAAGAAACTAACAAACAGGTGACCCTCTTCTACATATGCTACAAATAAGAAAAAGATATATGTACATGAGCAAAATAAAAACTGTCAAAAACTCAAAATGGAAGCGACAATGAGCGACTTCGATGTTTTGCCTTTCCTATGAAAATGCAAGCGGAATAATGAACGTGACAACTTAAAAACTAGAAATAATTATAGTCTACATATGCAAGAAGTAGACAAGTGGTTTATGGAAGAAAATAAACCAAGAGTGACTGTCGTTTATATTTCATCCACGGAATGCTATAGCATGGATACATGTTGTATATAAAAACTGACTTGGGTTATTGCCGTGGGGCCTCACGCGAGACTTTTAAAAAAGATCCTTTGTAAATGATGTCCTATACACTGCGTAGAAATTAACGTAATTTTGATTGATTGATTCTAGTTTAATTTTCTGTAGAGATTTTGTTTTGCTCAAAAATACAGCTTCAATGATGAAGAATGACTGTAACAGTTCATTCATATTCAATTTATCACGTTTTTAAAAATATTTTGACGTTGTGACGTCACCGTGAGATCGTGTCAAGAAAATCTGATATCTTTGATGATAACTTAATAGAATTTAGTCAAAATTGGCATGTTTAATGGGTGCACCCGCAAGTGAACAGTTCGGATTATTTATGTTTTGTCATAACAAATAATTAGTCCCCACTCTTTACTTGTTTAGCTCGAGGTTTAGCTTCTCTTCTTTTTTACAAATTCCTTCTGTAGACTTTATAGTTTACTCGTTTCAATGGTCTACAATTATCACAACACCTATGAATACTAGGCCATCGTAATAGGCGGGAATTGCAGAAATTGGTTTTTATTTCGCTGGAAATGGTGGATGAACACCGCGGGAAAACATCTGCTCATCACTGCCAAATTGTAAACTTTTAACTGAAAACATTGCAGCTATTTAATTATTTAAGGTAATTGATACAAACAAAAATTACATTAGACGGGTAGTTTAGATATAATAATATACATAAAGATATTACTCGACTGTGATTGGTTGATTTCAGTGCAGTTAATCCCAAACAGTAGTGCAATTTTCTGTAATCACAGTGCAATTTTTGTAATCACAGTGCAATTTTCTGTAATCACAGTGCAAAAATCTGTAACAAACTGATCTGATTGGTGGGAAAATATTGTGATGATTAAATCAACCAATCAGTTTAAAGCAATTTAGTTTAAAGAAGTAACGGTCACAGATTGCTTCAAAACAAAACAAACATGGCGCCGCGCTACAGTGAAGTAAAAGTTGCTTTCGCGTGAAAAATATGGCTTTTATCTTTATTTTTAAATGGAAAAACATTGACCTTAAACAAGACTAACAAAAATTACATAGTTGAGTAGAATTTTCAAGCTGTTAGCGTTACATAATGTGATATAACAAAGCCAGGAAAAGTTTGCCAGTGGAATGTTCGCCCAGGGTGCATTTTGTGTAAATCGTACGCCGGATATACATCAAAACAATGTTTTTTTTACGCCAACGCAAGCTGAGGTTCACGCCATTACGTTATGACACGAGCGGCATAGTCCGACCCCGCCCTCCGAAGAGGCGTGGCCCCGTTCAACCTGTTGACACCCTCTGCTTGAATTGACACCGTTGTGTAATTAGCGCAAACGCCTAACAAAATTACAACAGTACCAAGTCAACAAATTACAGTATGATCAGAAAACTTTTACCAAATTGAACACTTATAACTCTTAACAATATGCGGATTCATCTTTTAATAATATAGTTAACGAAACTTACGTAACAACAGTATTTTAATCGCTAAATGCTTAGTTGTTATTGTGGAATAACATCTTTACCACAACTACGCACTTCCCAGCAATTTACTGCATTGAATCACAAGTTACAATGGAATCAACGAAATTCACATAAACTTTTGATAAAATGAATCTAGCCGTATTTTTCACTGAAAAATTCATTGGAAAACTTAAGTTTCCATTTACAGTTAAGAATAAAACGTCTTTAACAACAACATTGTTTAATTTTAATTGCTAATCACGGTAAAACTCGTAGCTGTTATAGTGTTGTACAGCATCTTTACCACAAAAACGCATTTCCCTGCAAATCGACCGTCTAATTTCACACAGGAGAGAACGAGACCATCATCCATACAATGCTAATAAAATGAATCAACCCGTGCACTATTGACTGATGTTCAATTCACGGCTAGGAATGGACAATATCCACGTTCAGCATGAACACGGTCAATGACTTTCGAACAGTCGTACTTCTTTGCTCGAGAGGAGAAGAAGGAGTTGACACGATGTGCTTTTATATTATCATCTCCCTCCCTCTAGATATAAACGTACGCCTTCTTTAATTATCTTTTCACAGTGTTTAAGGGAAGGCAAGCACCAATTGACCTTCGTTCTCCGCGCAAGGGTATCGTTAGACTGACCACCGGACTGCTGTTGGTTGCGCATGGTATTGTAAAAACTTTCCGCTATTGCCTCTGGACCGCCTTTCGCCAAAACAATGTCCAATAGTGCACATGGTGGAGGCTGTGCAATATCATAGAGGACTTTGTTTGAGTAAAATGACGTATAAACACACTTCTCAGACAGTCTCACTTTCCGAACCATTTCATTGGAGAAACGCATGACAAAGATCGATTCAAGATTGGTTGACTCTTCGGCACGAATTTCTAGTAAAGAAACACCATCGTATCGATAAAAGGTGAGCCCACTTCAACATCCGTAACGTCAAACCAGTCTGGACCAGTGAACTCTAATAATAACTGGAAGGCTAAGTCAGGGGGGGGGGAGTTGAAGCCGTGCTTGAAGCTTTTTTTGTAGGTAGACCCAGTCCTTTTTAAATTTTTTTTTCAAAATATGCACATTTTTCGATCAGAAAAATCTTGCCCCAAAATATTAGTTATACTACCAAATTTAATTTATATCAGTAGTATTATAAATGAATTTAATATTCGCAAAGCAAACAAATCACGAATTAGCAAAAAAAATACGAAAAAACACGGCCATAAGCATGAACGGTCAGAAAAACCGCGCGTTTTAGGCTGCTTTTTCTGAGTTTTTGGAAGTTTAAGATAAAACTAAGACGTCATACCTCAGGAATTATTTAAACCCATGCAAAATACATCTGTATGCGAAGTTTCAAGAAGATTGAACGTTTTAAGGTCGAAAAAAAAGCATTTGAAAATTGACAAAAATATGCCATATTCAAAATGCTCATAGTGGCCAACAAGATGCCGATGACGAAAATAACATCACTTGAAAAACGCCAATTTATTTATGTTTAAAAGCGACTAAAACAAGGACTAAAAGCTCAGGATCAATAACAATACCTAGGGTTTAGTACAACATAAATTTTGGGACTGTCAAAATGTTTTATAGTATATATTTTTTAGTTGAACGGCGAGGTTTCCTTCGGCGCGTCCAAACTTTCGTCATTTTTTCAAAATACAAAAGCAAAACTCCTTACTTTTTGCTGCAGAGAGATGTAAAACAGTTGGAACTAATCGGAAAACCTGGTTTAAATCCCAATCATTGTTGTATTCCCATGGAAAAAGTGTTTTTCTTGCAAATTTTTGCTCGAAAACAAACTTTTGGCAGAATTTTTTTCACTCCTCGAAACTCTCCTTAGTCTTTTTGAAAGCTGATTTTCCCGCGCGCCGGCTTCAACGAATCATAGGCTTTCATCATAGGAGTTAGCCTTCCAGTTATTTTTAGAGTTCACTGGTCTGGACAAATACCATTCCATACACCTTCCAAGACTGCTTTCTTCAACAAGCCCATGTAGGCGTGTGCCATACGTGTATCAAAATTTAGACCAGAAGCTTGGATGTGAGATAACTTTGAAGCTACCTTCATTACTTCTTTGCACTCCTCGACTCCATACTCTTCGATTTCCCCTTCCGGCAGGAAGAACGTAATCTTTCCATCTTCAGCAGTACCACAGTGAAGCTTAACGAGATTTGCTGCATCAAATACTTCGAGATGTGACATCATTTCGCTGTGTAAAATAGAGGTAACTCGTTTTTCCAACGAATCCTTAAGATCTTTGGCAAATCTTCTATGGTCTTCTTTCATTTCATGTTGTTCTCTCTGGGTCCAGCTAAAGCGGTCTTCTCCTGAATCTCTTCCGCCATCACTTGTAACCAACCATCCAGGTAAAAGGGTAACACCTCTAAAAACACCACCCGGTTCAAGATTTCGTTCGACTTCTTTCAGTCTCGGAAACGCTTCAGAATCTGCGTTGGCAGCTTTCATCAACTTTGCACTGACTTTGGGCCACCACAACTTCAACTTCTAAACCGGTGTATCTAGGGCTTGTGCGTGAACCATCAAATCAACAACAGGACTTAAGATGTCAAGAAGTGCCAAGAGATCATGGACAAAATCTGATCCCGCTATCATGTACTGCCATTCTTCGTCTTCCGCGCGGTTTGGGTGAAGAAGGTCAAACGCTTTCCAAAAGAAATCGAAGCTCTTCTCTATTTTTACCCATTGCTCGTATGACGAACTCGCGAACCTTTGGGTGGCATAGGATACTGGTCGCCTTGCATTTTCATTGACCATTTGTAGAAACGCAAATCCTTTTCCGTTGGATAGCACATGGTTAAACACGTTACATCTTTTAATGAACTGCCGAAAAAATTTACCGCTATCCGTCTTGGCGTCTCGCACGTCAGTTACAGCAAGATTAAGAAGATGGGCCGTGTCCCACGTAACAGGCAGAGCAAGATCGTCATCATTCTTTAAACCAAGAGCTTCTCGTAGATGTTTTCTAAATCAGGTAGCTTGATAAGGCCCATCTGCTCCAACTCCACAAAGACGAGACAGAATTTCAGGAGAAAAGTGCTCTGAAATTGCATCTAAGAGTTGCCTTGCAAGGGAATCGTACGTAGCCTCTTTGAAATCATCATAACTTGCTGGTGCTGCCACTGGGATAGGACACGGTGTACCACTACTGTCCCTGGCGACGATAAGAACTGCTTGATTTGTAGTTCTGGAAGGGGTTGCTTTATCAGTAGTTGCCCAAAAATGGGGAGGAAGTTGTGTGGAAGGAAGAGGAGTAGCAAGCCACGCTCTTATTTTCTCATCTATGACTTTCTCTAGGCAGTACATGACATGATTAAAATTGTTGCGACCATGTCCAATTGTGCCTACATCAACAGAACCGCTGTCTAAGAAAGAAGTAAGAGTTTCAAAGTGTCTTCCAGCTGCCCCAAGCTTAACATCAGTAATTGCGGCTCGAAAGAGGTTTTGACATACTGTAGATTCTCGGTGTAGGTGCTCCTTCCTCTTTCCATATTCCTCCATTGCTTTTGCGTGTTTTGTTGATCCACGTCCAACGAGACAAAAATGATCAAGGCAGTAATTCTTCTGGCGATACCAAGCTTGGTTATGACCAGTTATAAACAGCCGCGAGGATGCATGTAAAAAGTTTAAATAACTGTTTATCACAACGATTAGTCACTGTTTTCTTACCTCATCTGAGTCATCTAACATTTTCAAATCGCGTACTTGCCATACTTGACAGATTAGTTTACCTCTGGCGATATTAAAAATAAAATTACGGCGAAGGCAAAAAATGTCGGCGAAAAAAATGGTGAAATTATACCGCTTCAAACCGTAGCACGGCCAATGGCAAAAAAGCTCGGAGTCGGAGACTTTTATTTCTTTTAATAATTTCTAACAAGCAGAAAATTGCAGAAAACATGGAATTTATTTCAACTTTAAATGAGTTGTCCTGATCTTTAAGATCTTAATAATATAAAATAATACGCCACGCCATTATTACGCCAAGTAAACATTTGTACGCCGTTACGCCAAGTCGTGTTCAACTCCACGCCGGATATCTTCGCACTTTTGTGCACTGAATGCACCCTGGATGTTCGCTATAAACGCGTAAGTTAAAACTACAATTGTCTCGAACATTTTTATGTAAATTATTAATAAGTAATAGCATGGTTTCTCGTGAAATTTGGATAAACATGCACTCGTGAGTTTTTCAAAGACCTCAAATAGCACTCGTCCTTCGGACTCGTGCATGTTATATCCAAATTGCACTCGAAACCATGCTATTACCTATACTAATAAAAAGTTTTCTAACATTAAAAATCTAAAAAGAAACAGAATTTAAATTAAAAATTACCGTTTAAATTAATAAGACCAGGAGGCGTGTGAACCGGCATTTCTTGAAGAATTGTCGAATACCAAACTTATGAATTCGAACCTACGAAAAATATCTTTGTATGGTTCAGTTAAAGAACGTTTTATACAATAAATTTATCGACAGTCACTTTTGGTTTATTTTCTTGCATAAACTACTTCTTGCATATGTAGACTATATAATTATTTCTAGTTTTTAAGTTGTCACGTCATTATTCCGCTTGCATTTTCATAGGAAAGGCAAAACATCGAAGTCGCTCCTTGTCGCTTCCATTTTGAGTTTTTGACAACCATTTTGAGTTTTTGACAGTTTTTATTTTCCTCATGTACATATATCTTTTTCTTATTTGTAGCATATGTAGAAGAGGGTCACCTGTTTGTTAATTTCGTAACAGGAGAGTCCAGCAAAATGTCTATAGCGTAAAGTGTAAACATATACATGTTCCAACTCATGTACTTTTATTGTATTTACCTAGCTTTAATTCTATTAGTTTACATACTGTATGCAGAGAAAGCATTAAACAAATATGAGAAATTATAAGACTTCAAAAGCTTTAATACAGACAGACATATTAAATATACATTCAGTAACAACACGCAAATTGCTATAAATAGCAACGTTACAGTCTAGTAATATAATATGATTTGTTGTGCTTTTGTTGTAAGTAGGTCTAATATCTTGAAAATCCTTCTAAACGTTTCTTTATAAAGTATACAAAGCATATACATTGATATCAAAACACAAAATTCAAAGTTTTGAACAATTTGAGCTTCGTGACTTTGTATAGACGTATAGGCCTAATGACTTAATTGTGTTACATTCCACTTAGCCTGCATGGCAGGCGGTATTTCTACGGGCAGCGAAAATTAGGGAAGCAAAGGAAATACCGTCTGCCGCCAGAGGAGGGTGGAAGCTCTTCCCAGCATGCATTGCAACTCATTAATATTCACAATCATGATTTTTCATAATGTTAGTTGGAAAAGTGGTGGATATTTATTTCGATATTTCGCCACGAAAAGTTCGTATTTTTGAAGGTAAGTTTTTATAATTGTTTTAAATATGAGTCAAATTAACGATTTTTGCTTTATTTGGTGTTTTAACAACGTTTAGTTATATGTTAATCGCAATTTGTATTGACCTGTTTTCCGGGTCAATGCACAAGTGTCAAAAGTGACTTTCAAAACCGCTGGGGACAATTGGGTTTATAAATGAGTAAATTAAATAAAAGACACGCCATCGTATTCAGGAAGAGTTGTTCTTTCTATGAGAAGTTTAAAAAATGAATTGTCCCCATCAAACTGACGAGTAATCGCGGTTTGAAAATGGGGCATTTTCGGTATACTATGTCGCCCATCGCGGGAATAATCGACCGCATGGGAATTATGGCGCGAGGAAAATTACTGTACGAGTCGTTATTATTTTTGTTTTATTTCGAAGAATGTGCATATATGTCGATCGTTGTTGAGTTTAACTGCTGCATTTAAGTTAAATACACTGTACTTTACCATTATTTTTATAGAATTCGAATATATTTTGTGAAAATGGAATCTGATGATGGCAATGTTGTTTATATTGTTGATCCTAAGTATGGGAAAAGTTGAACTTATGAATTTAATGCTGATTTAGAACTGTTATTGAACAAACTGTTCCTACATCCTGCTTTGGCAAATGGTATAACATCTAATCCAGTCAAGTTGTGCTCATGAATGGTCAACTGATTCAAGCAATGAAACTATTGAACCAGAATAATAAGAGCAACCTGTTATATAAATGTGCCCATACCTGCCTTTTAATAGATACATATTTTAGTAGACATTTTACATATAAATATTGGTGTATTGGTGACATGAAAATGTTGCAATGAATCTTAAGTATTTACTTTATATATTGTAACTTTGAATAAAGCATTTTATTAACATCAATTATGTATGACCACTGCATTTATGACCACCAAATATCAGGGGTGGATTTACTGGGGGGGTGCACCCCCCACCTAGCCCTGACCAGAGGGTATGCAGGGGGGGGGTATTTTCATGATAAAGCAAAAAATATTAGAGACAAAATTTGAGTAATAACATGATAAGTAAACTGTTTGTTAACAACTACAATACTGTAGTCAAGCAAGACTTTGCTGTAGTCAAGTAAGTTGATGGGTGGGTGGCGCACATGACTGACACAACTCGGCACCAGAGCTGGCAGAGTACCCTCCCTACCACAACATACTGGATCCATCTTTAGATCAGTGATCCATATGTGCTAAATATACAACAGCTAAAACAGTGTTAAGAACACACGCACAAGGTGGACTATAAGATAAAGTAGGGATTTGATGACTGCAGTAAACAAACACAGCAAATTGAGTTTGAAAACATTTATTTATTTGAAAAAGGAATGGTAAAATTATATTTAACAATTATTCGCCGAAGCCAAGGTGAATATTCCCAGATAATCACAGAGCCTGAGGCAAATAATTGTTTTAGTATTTTTGCACAAGTTTTTTTGTATTTTTCTGGTCTGAATTCATTTTAATTTCGCTTATTTCTTTATTACTAACTTCAACAAAACAGCTAGCCGCCATTTTGAAAATTTCGATTTTGTTATAATATAACAGATTAATACGTCAAATTTGACCAATCACCTT